AAAAAAACATCAAATATCATGGCAGTCTTAGCATTGATTTGGTCACAGACTTGGCAGCCCAATAGACAAGCTGCCGGTACTTTGACGTGTTTGAGATACTCATGCACATGCCCAATAGCCAGAAACAGTTCAGACCTTTGGGCTTTATCGAGCTGAACAGGGTCAAAAAGATTGGATGTTTTCTTAATGAGGATGCTTTCTAACACTGGATGCTTTCTCAATTTGGGTAAAATGCAATTTTGGATGAAATGCATGTGGGAAAATTTCACTTGCATTTCAAAAACATGTTGGGTGTGTAAACACTTATCTGAATCTTAAAAACAAGTTAGGTCTGTGAGTTTTAATTTGGGTTTGGGAAATGCATTCAATATTCTAAAATACACCATGTTTTAAATCATATCAGATCTGGAAACGAGTTCAAATTTAAAGAAAAGGGATTAAGTTTCTACACAAACACGTTCCAATCTTTTTAACACTAATTCTGCTCCGTACTTCAACCGTAATAGTCTCCAATAGATTACATTTTCAAGTCACTGTCAAGTTATATGATAGAAATACTTTCTACTTTGGCTTAACATGATGACATCAAAGAGTGCCAAATTACACACAGGATAAGGTAAAATGTTACACTGGTTTGTGACTGGTGGAAAAAAACTGAATCAAACATGGCAACTATTTAAGTTTTAAGGTTAACAGAAATAGAAAACATTTTGTTCGTGTAAAGTAAAAAAAAGTAAGTAAAGTAAAAAGTAAAAACATCATAAATTCAATTTTACCCTCTTAATCGTGACCCCAAAATGAATGAAAAGATCCTGCATTTCCTCGCCCACAAGAAATCCCCTTTTGGCCGTTGGCGCTGCCAGACTGGTTTGATGACGTCATCGGCAGAATGCCGACATGTACAGTGTACATGCACAATTGCAAATAGTACATGCAGGCTTGCAATAGACCATGTTGTGTTTGATGTAACTTGGCCCACAGGCAAACACTGTCTCAGTTCACGGTAGAAATTAAAAGACGGTCCTACCGTGTATTA